GCAAAAGTGGAATGCCATTGAAGACAACACTAACAAACTATTGTGAACACTCACCCACACTAAAATCTGAACTGCTTCCCAACCAAAATGTTCTGTAGACAGAAGCGCATTTCCTTGGTCCAGTTCTGGCTTGGACCAGGTGGCAGTCTTGTTCTGTGGTGTGACATCAAGAAGCCTGCACAGAAGCAGTCCAGGCTGCTGGTGGATCTATGCTAACCCCAGCCCTTTGTGGATTCTAGCAAGAAGAAGCACATCTACTTTGTTTTGTTTCTAAGCGGCAAAAAAAAAAATGCTTGAAAAAGGGATAAAGTATGAATGAGGGTAAGTTGAGACTTAGTAGATTGGACATATAATGGGGTTTGGCCCCTGACATCTCTAAAGTGGACGTTCTGGATCCTGTCCCAAGGGGCTTCCATGTTATGGTATGACCACCTCAAATGAATTTGGTGGATGGGGGATCTTGGGCGAACTCTAGGGGGCTTCAGAGGAGTTGATGTAATTGTTCTGTTGGGGGGAGGGTTCCTCCCACATCTTCACTCCTCCTTGGAGGCTGCAGTGTTGGGAGGAAGGGCAGATGCCAGTCGAGCTGGAGGGCTTCCCCTCTCGGAGCCTCAGTTTGATCCTCTGTGGAAGACTGTTCTGGAATGGCGTTGCTCAGGGGATTCACGGGGAAAATCTATTGAAAGCATCTAGCCCTGTGCCAGGCACTTAACAAGTGCTTAATCTCTTGTAGCTATTTCAGACTCCAGAATTCATCTCATACCACTGGTGTCAGAGTACACGGAAGGGAATGAAAAGCCCAGCCTGGGTCTCCTAGCCCAGGTCACAGAGCTCCCTGGTGAGGATGGAGCTGGGGTTCCCAGGCCTCCCCACTCCGGGCTTGTTACTGTGCCCACTGACTCTCAGGACCCATTCGCGCAGCCAGCTCCTCGGGTATCACAGCTCCCCGCCTTCCACCTTGGCCCACCTCCATCTTCTCAACCCCAATCCTGTTTCTCCTACCCTCTTACCGCCAAAGTATCTAGAAAATTCCCCCCTGTCTCCCTGCCTCGCGGCCATCACAGGCTTTCTGCCCAGAAAATTCTCCTCTTCTTTACCCATGGCCGCCCCTACCCCATGGCTGCCCCTACCTCGTGGCCGCCCCTATCCGTGGCTGCCCTATACGTTTCAGCTCAGTGCCCGTCCACCACCATCCTAGCTGAATTGACACCATTCCCGACCTTCCGGCTCTTTCTCCCTCTCTTTCCAGTATGTGGTGTCGGCACTTTCCCTATTCTACAGTTTTCTTTCCTTTCTTACTGTCTGTCTCCTTTCCCGAGTGTAAGCTCCAGAAGGACAGAGAACATGTGTCCCCGGCTCCTGGCACGATGCCTGACGCAGAGGTGCTCAGTCAACATGCCGGGTGGGTGAACAAGTGAATGAATGAACGAATGAACGAGCGAACCAGCATATTCGCTAAGGCCTGGAGACGCCCTGCAAAGGATGTGAACTCGCTGGGAGAGGGCCCCTGGCACCTGCTCGTCCTCCTTGCTGGCCTCCTAAAAGAACAGCGTGAAGCTACCTACAGGCAGGACTCCTGCCGGCAGGCAGCCCACACAAAAGCACATCTTGCAGGCAGGGGAAATGGGCGGATAGTTGCTAATTGCGACTTCCAACTGGGCTGATCTTTCCCAAGTTCCAAAGGCGCCTGCCTCCCTAAATGCCGGGCTGCTGCCGCTGCCGAGGGAGCCGGGAGGGAGGAGGGGCGGGCGCCTGGGCGCGGGGCTGGCACCAGAAGCCCCATCTCCTCCCCTCCTCCCCCCAGCTCCTCTCCAAGAGAGGAAGCAATGCAGATGGAGATGAGAAATAAATATTCCTGCCTGCTCTGTGCCACTGCAGTTTCCAAAATGTCTGGCTTGGACCACGAAACCAAGCCCAGGAAAGGAGGCGCTCGGCGGGAGAAAGAGGGGGAAAGGGTGGCATATTTGTCGATACTTGTCAGCTTTCTGGGGGGCAGAGCACATGGCTCATCCTTGGCAGCCCCGCTGGGTGGGGATGTGGTAAGTGCGCAGTAATACTTGCAGAGCGGATCCGAAGTGGGAGCCAGGGAGGGGGTCCTGCCAGGGTGGCACCCTATAGCTCCGCCTTTGTCCGGGGCCCAGGACTCCTGGTTCTCTGGGCCTTGATGGCTCTTCCCACGACACCCGTTGCCCTGCTCCCTGTTCCCTGCACTCCTCCCGGTAATCAGTGCGGCTGGGCTGCAGGCAGGCTCCAGGGGCCTCTCAGATTTGGGCAGGAGCTCAGAATCCACGCGCAGAGATGTTCCTGCCGCCTCTAAGCACAGCTCGGTCTCCAACACGGGAATCCACAGGAGATGAGAGCACGCGCTGCGAACGATAAGTGGGTGCCTCTGGCCTGGGGGTGGCCACGTGTGTGGGAGAAGAGTCACCGAGGAAGGGCAGGTACAGGCCAGCACAGGCAGGGAGGGTCCTGCAGTGGCGGGGCCTCCAGGAGGCAGGCCGTGTGGTTGCAACACGTCTCAGAAAAGGGAGAGGAGAGGGTGACAATTCCGGCTGGGACACTCCTGCAAGTTCTGCGAGGTCTTCTTTGTTTCAGACGCTCCTGTGAGAATCTCCCTGGTGCCAGGCCCTTGGCAGCGCTGCCACGGGACCACCTTTTACTGGTCCTCCTGCGAAGGCTGTCATTCGGGAGGGGCCTCTGGTGGATGGAATGCTGCCCAGGAAGCGGCAGAGGAGCTTTCAGGGTCAAGGCGGGTACAGTCAAAACCTTTGCTCAAAATAAAGGCTCCGAGAAAGTGATGTCTTCCGTGGGAGTCAGGGGAACATCTTCCAGAAGTGCTGCCTTTCATTCTGCCTCTTTTCACCATTTCCATGACTTCACCGAGGCATGAAAGATTATCTACTCTTTCCCACTCGTGAGCCCTGAATCCTTCCTCATGCATCTTCCCCACTCAGTTGCCCATCTGCCTCCTAGTGCCAGGCAAGTGCCAGCTGAATCCCACTCTCTTCAGGAAGCTGTTCAGTGGTGGGGGGAAGCTGGCAGAAACCTGGGTTCCTGTTCCCATGCTGCCCATTGCTGTGTGACCTTAGACAAAGTACTCCCCCTCTCTGGGCCTTGGTTTCTTTGTTTGTTAAAGGAGTGGGTTGGGTAGGTTTTCTTTCAGCTGTGACACATTATGGGTAGTTCTACAGAGTGAAATCAGATACAATTCCTTTTGTCACCACTCTCTTCCCACCCCACCTTTGCCAATAAATTCCTGGGACTGGGGTCATCACGCTTTCTGGGATTGAGTTCAATTCTCACACCTCGGAAGGTCAGAGCTGCATATCAAATCAAGATGGGCATGCAGATGGGTGGATGCTGTCTAGAATTGTTTTAGATGTTTTCTGTCTACATTTCCTTTAATTCCCATGAAATCTAATGTATGGGTTAAGGAAAGACCAAAGAAGGGCATGTTTGGAAAGAACTTGTGTGTATGTATGTCTGTGTTATATAATAAACATGTTAGATATCTTTTATTAATAATAGTTGCTATTTTTTGAGACCTACTGTGTGCTAGGACTATGCTAAGCTCTTTCACTTATATTATTATCCTCAAAGAAGCTCATTGTGGAAGACGTTATTTACTCCCTACTTCCACACAATATTGGTATTAACTGCAATTAACACACACACACACACACACACACACACACACAGAAAAATGATACAACAGCACACCTCCCTAAAACCAAAACCAAAACCAAAACCAAAACCAAAACCAAAACCAAAACCAAAACTAAAACAAACCTCAGAGAGGATGAGACTTAGGAAGGATGAGACACCTACTCAAGATCACACAGCTGGTCAGTATTGGTAATGGGATTTGAACCCGATTTTGTTGGATTCCAAAGATGATGATGTGCTACCCTCTATCCCGTGCTGGGCCTTGCCTTGGCATTCAAGGCCCTTTTAGGAAATTCTTCATAAATGAAGTCTCTTTCAAAGACTCAAAGATAGTGGGTCCTAAATGGCCTTTCCTATGGCATTGTCAGAGGATAACAGCTGGTCCCAGAGCCAGCAAGACCCCTGCCATCAGAGATGGCAAGAGGCCTGCAGCTGCAGTGCCCGCCTAGCACAGCAAGGGAAGGAGAACAGGCCCCGGAGCAGTCCGCTTACAGCCACCCGCCCCACTTACCTCCAGAGAATTAGGCTGGCCTCTGCCCACCACCTAACTAACTTCTATGGCCATGCCCGATTCTGGCACAGACTTAGAGCCTCTCGGATTTGTACAGATTCGATCATGTGTGTCAGGGGTGTAAACTCAAGTGTCCCCAAGCCCCGGCAGGTCTATGAATGAGCAGGACAGCCCGGAGGGGGCTCGAGGAAACTGGCGAAAATGGCTGGACTGTGAGACACTGTGACTGAGCCCTGCAGACGGTGCTGTGCCCACAGGCAGGCCTTCATAAAGCTGCTGACCATCACTTCATAGAGTCCTGGGATTCAGGCTTCTCTGTGAATTCTTCTGATTTTTAAATGCGGGAAACTAACTGAGTTAAGGAAAGTGTACCCGACACAGCGAGGACCAAATAAAACATATTTCCAAGCTCTCTCTGACCCATAGGTTTCCATTTGCAACCCCTAAAATTAACTCACAGACGAGGAAATGGTAGCTCAGAAACGGTAAGTGTTTTCACCTAAGAAGCTAAGGTGGGCTCAGTCCATCAACTCTCCTTGGATACAAATATATAGAGGCATACAAGTGTGCACATAGTGTATATTCACAAATGAAACAGAAGCGGTGTGGCGGCTGCTATGAAGTGCCCTGCTCCTTCTCCCGGTGTTATCAGCAGACGCTGATGGGTGACCGAAATTAACACACACACACACACACACAAATCCAAACCAAATGCCACGGCAGCACCCTCCTCATGTCAGCTTCTTGACATTCACCGGCTCATTTTACCCATCGGAAGCATTCCATATTTCCTTAAGAAAACAATGTAAACCTCTTTACTTACGGTGAATGACAAGAAAGAAGAAAACAAGGTCCCTTCGTCATATCTGGATAATTTTGCCAACACTCCTTCCAAGATAGTAACAAACTAGAAAAACCGCAAAAGAGAAAAAAGAATTAGTGTTCCAGAGTAGAATTGCTCACGATAAAGAGCAACATTTCCAACCAGCACGGAGCCTCTGCTCACGTTCGCCTTCTATTATGTGATCGCAGCCTGCGGGGAGAGGAGTAGACGCCTCGACACAGAAATATTTGACTTATCCGGCTTTCTCTTCATTATTATGTGATTGCAAATAGAGAGTGCTCCAGAAGTGCAAAGTGACAAAATATTATTGCGTTGCATATAGCATGCGATAATATTAAATGCACTTTTCAAAATCCCAAACTGCGCAAAGCCGTCTTTATGTTACATATTAGCACTACATTTAATCCAATCTATTTTTATTTGTATTTTATCAGTAATTTGGGGGAAACAGAAGTTTAGCACTGGCAAATATAAATGTCTTCCCATTCAACATTACTTAGTTAAAATTCTAGAATTCATGAGGGTGACTGAAATAGCTTTATCTGACTTTTCTGCTTTATTATGACTCTCACTGCATGTAAAACTAGGGGGAAGGGGGTTCCTAGGATGGCAGAATTCCTTATTACCGTTTAACTTTCTGTATTTAAAAACCTAACTTTGTCAATGCTGAAAAACAAAACAAACATTTCCTGCATAACCTAGTGCAGCGTTTGGGGACAAATTCTTATTAAGTTAACATATGCCACTTCATCGCTTCATCCTCACTCGGCTCGCAATCATCAGAAAAATCACTCGGCACTGCGGCTGGGTGAGGCGCAATCCTGTTTCCTGAGAAATATAAGTGCCCGGCTCAACTTTTTGACGTGTGACATTTTAATGGGAATGCAGACATAACAAAGCAATGCTCACAACGAAACATTTCACCTGAAACGGAAGATTACCTTTGCCACCAAGAGTGTTATCATTTCTTTAACAGTTTCTTCAATTAGTTCGTCTATTTTTGAATGGTATTGATGCTGAAGAACACAGAAAGACAAATATTAGCATGTTTGGGAGGTGATGGCATGGCATCCGTCGGTCATTTTTAGACAATGCAATTTATACCTAAAGCCTGGCCTGCCCACCCCGTCCCTCTCCACAGTCCTGGAAGCAGCTGCAAGATTCTGACTGCGTGTCTTTGATGAGGAGAGATTCGAAGCTCTTAAAAAAATTACCAGGCACATTGCTCCTCACCCAAAGCGTTCAATTGCTTTGCTATGTGAAGAGACACACAGGCATTTACAAAAGCTGGCATGGATGGCTTCACAGCCCAGCAGCGTGTTGATCTGGGTCGTACAAAGCCCGATACCACAACAATTTAATACAGGGACGAAAATTATCTTTGGGAAACTGCTGGGAGCTGTGGCTTAGGAGTACACCCTTCCGAAGGGAATTTGACCAATACACTGTGCGTGATTTTGCAAAAACTGTTCTAAGACCTTTGGCTTTTTGGGGTGAATGCCTCAGCCCCCCTCATTCCAGCTCAGTGTGTTGACTCAGTGCCCGGGCAGTGCCTCTTTCTCAACCCTGGTGGCTGCCACTCGTCTTCTCCATGATGGGCAAGCAGACCCAGGCTTAGAGCACTAATGAGACTGCTACTAAGTTTTTCAAATTCTCTAACTGCTGCTGTCGGTTATTAAATTTAAATAGTAATGCAAAAACAAACCCCACACAAACAAAATCTGCTGCACATGCCAGGAGGAAAGAAAACGCGATTTCAACAGAAAGCACTGTATGCCAGCTCCTTGACATTTATTAGAGCATCTCAATATCCATTGAGTTATTCCACATTTCCTCAATGGAAAACAACAATGCCAAGCACGGCTCTCCGGAAAGAAAATGCACTTACCCACTCGTTAGCAAACTTTCAGAGGGAGGAGTAATTAGGAATCGAAAGAAAAGGGAACAATGCAAATGAAAATTAGGACAATAGGGCACATGAGAAAAGAAAAATTAAACAAACCATCCAGAAAGCTATGAAAACATGCGGAAATCATAAGCCATATTAATGTGGTTTGATATTCTGATAACTGGCGATCAGCAGTATTGAAAGGGAGCAAAGGGATGGGAATGAGGTTAATTCATTTCAAGTCATCGTGGGATTTTATTTGTAACTGGAAGACCTAGACAAAACCCCAGTGCAAAGTTGGTTAGTTACGTTGCCTAAGAAAATATAGTTCGGTTTCTTCATCTGTAAAACAACAACAAAAAAAACTAAAAAAACACACACAACAGATACTACTACTACCTAGGATCAATGGGACAGGGGAGAAGCCAGTATAAATTATTGATGATTTTGTAATGGGAACGAGGCACACCCTGTGTAAAGATATTTAGCAGGTCTGTTTCATTATTACTATTTATTTATTTATTTATCCTCACTCAAGGATATGTTTTTATTGATTCCAGAGAGAGAGGACAGGAGAGAGAGAGAGATCAGGAGAAAAAGCATTGATTGCTTGCCTCGGATATGAACCCACATGGGATGGTTGGGGATTGAACCTACAACCTAGGTATGTGCCCTGACCTGGCACTGAACCTATAATCTTTTTGGTGCACAGAACGATGCACCAACCAGGTGCCACCCAATCAGGGCTATTAAAAAATCAGGGTCAAGTTTTTTTCCTGGCAGTCCTGCTCTCAGAATCATAGATCTAGTTCGAAGATGTACTGAGGGTCTAGATGTGGAAACATTTTGCCAACTTATAATTGCAATTCCAATATTATTTGTTGAAATTCATAAAGTAGAAAGCAAGGCTAGGGGGAGATGGTCTTATTGCTCAATCATCTCATTTTACTTGCCTTTTAGTTGACTAGAGAGAGAGAGAAAAAAGCAAATGGTGGTGTTGCACAGTCCTGATAAACAGAACCCACGTTGGCTCTGCTGCTAACTTCACGAAAGAATTTACTAGGAAGTGGCAGAAATCTGGGGCTAAATGCAAACACTATCTGCAGGGTTCTGTGCTAAAACACAGAAAGATGTCAAAACAAAGGACCCCAGGAATGTTGACAGGGCTCCCAACTCATTTTTAGGTCTTGTGATAAGATCCCGAGTCACACCCTCACCTGCCCTCACGTGACTGCGCCTTCTAGATTCTCTTTGGATCACTATAAGTGATTCACATTTATGACATTAATGATGAGATTTAACTCAGAAAAGTTAGCTGTAGGCAAAAATAATTTAATATGAAATATTAAATGAGAAGCTTCTAAACAAGCAAAGAACATCATTGAGAACAGAAACATTCTCTCAAAAAACTTAGCTGAAATGGCAAGCAGAGCCAAGAGCATGTTCCCTATGCATCACTCACGAAAGATCCAGGCACGATCTGTCCTGAGGAGTTAACAGTGTCTTTTCTGAAAAACAAACAAGCTTTCTCTTCCCTCCTCTAAGGAATCCAGACAGAAGTATATGGAGACACGGTGGTTTGTGGGAACCTCTCCTTGCTCTCATGTTTTCCATGCCAAAGTTGGCCCTGACTCCTCCCAGGTACTCCCACTGTCTCTCCCTTTCGCTATCTATGAATTTATGAGTATTATCACCACTCCTGTCCACATTTCTTTTATTCTGCTTATAAAAAAGTGGGTTTTAAAAATATATACATATTTTTATTGATTTCAGAGAGGAAGGGAGAGGGAGAGAGAGATAGAAACATCAATGATGAGACAGAATCATTGATTGGCTGCCTCCTGAATGCCCCACACTGGGGACCAAGCCCACAACCCGGGCATGTGCCCTTGACTGGAATCGAACCCTGGACCCTTCAGTCTGCAGGCCAACGCTCTATCCACTGAGCCAAACCAGCTAGGGCTATAAAAATGTTTTGATATGCTTATTCTGCTTCTTACTTCTAGAGGAAACTTGAGTATGTCATTTCTGTTAGTCTATTTCCTCATTTCCTCAATGGGGCTAGAATTATCCCTGTTGTTAATATAGAAATCACTACAAAGTAATGAAACAATGCATGGGCACATGGTTTGGAAACTTAGAAGTGCTACAAGGCAATATTACTGCTGCCTTAACCAATGATTAGCATGGTAGTTACATGTGTGTATTTCTCTAAACTCATCTAAAACCTACATACTTTGTTGTATGTCAATTATAATCTCAACGAAATAAAACCCACTTTGGAGGTATAGTAGGGCAGGGTAATATCTATTCTGCTTATTATGTAGCAAAGGGGTATTTATCTAAGTAGCCTTCATTCTTACACAATTAATTACCAAATACATGGATTTCTTTTATCAGTTTCTTCCAAGACTTATTTGATTGACTTTTCTGGAGCAACAGTGAGTACTCTGCCTTTACTCTGCTCTTTCTCAGGAGAGTAATTGTTCCATGCAGATGTGACGCTCCAGGAAGGAGTATAAATACTACCAGGTATTGTTTAATTACCATCCCTCCCCACCCCCTCTAGATTATCTTATCACAACATTTTTTTGCAGTCAGATGAATTATCCAATTTGGGTACAAAGAGCGCTCTTTCTTATTTTTGCATTTTTTCAGTCCCTTCTGCTGGCCTTCTTGGATTGGCTTGATAATAATAACTAATAATAATAATTACAATAATAATAATAAATTATATTCTGGGGCCCTAGATCATGATATAGCAAGGGAACTACTAATCTTCAATGGCATGGAAAGTTTGGGAAGTTTACTTTTGCTTCTAATGAGCTAAGTTGCTGCAAATTCACAATCACACTGGGAAAATCATTCACTTGACTCCCAGTGCTGCACATTTTGCCTTGTCATGGAACAGATTGTGTGTATGTTGTCTTTCTGTTAAGACCATCTGACCTTGGAAATGAGATGAAAACACTCTAGACCAAGTGAGAAAGTATTTAATATACAATTTCCTCTCTATTGGTGCTTTGCAAATTTTAATGAAAAAATAAATATTTAAGATGGAAAAGTATGGTTAACAAATGTTTCAACAGCTGCCTTTAGATGCTACTTTACCCCAGGGATGAAATTCAAGAAGTGACTTAAAACTGGAGAATCTATTCTAAAACTCCTTGAGGGCATTGGAATCCAGGTGGAAACAGGCATCGGTAACTAGATCTCTAATAGGAGTTCAATATCAGATACTCACAAAGTGAAAACTCAAAAAAAATTAAACTTTCATCTATTCTCCCAATTTCAGGATGTTCCCAGTCATCACCTTTGGCCAATGTCGTTCTAACTGTTCAGTTTTACTTTGGAGATAAATATCCCCATTCTAGAAGATGGGAAGAGTTGACGAGGGACCATTTGCATGAGACTTCTCACTAAAGTTCTACTCAAGGTCACAGCCACAGAGCAAGGTCCCTCAGAGGACTTATTTCCTATCACATATTTCCAACGGGGTCTTTAGTTTGGCCTGACAAACTTCCCGGGTCCCTTGAAATTGTATGTGAAAGTATTTTTCCTGGGAAATGGCTCCATAAATTTCTTGGAACAACATGTATAAATCTTAACATTATGCCAGGTGAAAGAAGGCACAAATGCCACATGTTAGTATATTCCATTTATATGAAATGCTCAAATAGGCAAGTCCTTATTAACAGAAGTAGAATGCCGGTTACCTGGGGCTGGGGAGGGAGGGTTGGGGAATTATACTAATGGGTCCAGATTTCTTTTTAGGGTGATAAGAATGTCCTGCAACTGATTGTGGTGATGGTTGCACAATTTTGTGAATATACTAAATGCTACTGAATTGTATACTTTAAGAGCGAATTTTATGGTATGTGAATTATATCTCATTTTTAAAAAAATAAAGCTCCAAAGAGAGAAAAATTCAGGAGGAGAAGGATTCTGGAAGTCACTCACGATTCTTAGAGACCATCCAAGACAGGTTTTTTTAAGTGGGCTCTGTGAAGCCCAAGAGATGGTTCAGAGTCGCCCAGAGAAATGTGAGTGGGTGATGCCCCTACTGCATCCAGAAATTTTATTCGTTTCACATGCTTGCCCCTCCCTTTTTTTCCAGTAAGGTCTGAAGAACTGATTCTGCAGCTAAAAGCAACCTGAATAGAACTAGAATAGTGCTATCATTTTACAGATGAAGAAACCGAGGCCCAAAGAGGCTGAGCCACTCGACCAGCTCTGGTGGGCAGCACAGCCCGGGTGAGACCCCCAACCAGGAGGCTCTCCCCAGCCGGAGCCTTCCCCAGGACGCTGACGTTCCTGCCTGAGCCCTTCTCCACTCAGGTTTGGATACTGAACCTCCAGACCAGTGGTTCTTACGGTGTGGTCTCCAGACCAGCCAGTGGCATCAGTATCATCAGGGGATTTGTTAGAAATGCAAAATCTTGGACCACACCCCAGACCTACTGGGGACTCTTGGGGTGAGACCCAACAATCTGGGTTTGGGAAGCTCTCTGATTAGCCTGATGCACTGAAGTTAGATCTGCTGCTCCAGATTGCTCACCTGCAGCAAAGGGAACCAGCAGAGAGAATCCCTTGCATGTGACCCAAAGCCTAGACCAGCCGTGGGCAAACTACGGCCCGCGGGCCAGATCCGGCCCGTTTGAAATGAATAAAACTAAAAAAAAAAAGACCGTACCCTTTTATGTAATGATGTTTACTTTGAATTTATATTAGTTCACACAAACACTCCATCCATGCTTTTGTTCCGGCCCTCCGGTCCAGTTTAAGAGCCCATTGTGGCCCTCGAGTCAAAAAGTTTGCCCACCCCTGGCCTAGACCATAACCCCGGGGAAAGGTCCCTGACCAGAAAGTCACAAACGTGGTGGAGGAAGCTGGTCTGGGGGGAAAGAAGCTTAAAGATGATCTTGCCAGGAAGAGAATACCACCAACCCACATTTAAAAATGGAAGGTGCCGAAAGAGAAAATAAATAACGAATAAGGAGCAAATATAATTTAGTAAAAAATTCTGAGCATGTAGGGCTGGTATCGAAAGATCTGATTTAGGAGCAATTTATGCCAATTGGCAACAACATGAGAGTTGCCAGAAATGTTTTTGCATTAATTCTAAATTGGTATATGAATATCTCGCTGGCGTAAGGCCATCAGAGGAAAATGATCACGATGGTCTTTAATCAAGCCCGAGTTGCTGTTGCTTTCTCCTTTACATTTTAAATACCACTTTGGAGCTGGAAACTTAGCAAAGGACTAAACTTTTGGTCAGGGAAGATGCACAATCAATCTCAGGAAAATTAAAGTCTGCGATTTCTTAAAAATTCAGAACCTGCTGCTGGCGACTGGGTAGCAGGGTGAGCCAACATTATAGATCCTGGAAGATGCTAGATTCGAAAAAGAGAGCTCTCCTGCCGTCCAGATGTTCAAAGTGATAAAACGCACTTCAAATGTGAAAATGACTTGCATTCTGGCAAACATCTGTTGGAGATACCAGCCTAATAAATAAGATCATCAAACATCATTGGACTTAGAGGAACTTAACGGCCACTCCAACGCTAGCCAAGAATCACTACCAAGTGACCGGCATGCTCATTAGCACAAGCCGTAGACATTTACTTAACAAACGGACACCAAACATTCATCTGCGGCTTAATCTACAAATGTTAAGAGTATATTTCTGAAGTTAGCAGATAGTGTAGATGGAAGGAATTTGTGAAGTTTTCTTCTACGTGATCAATGGTGGGAGGGGGGGCTGTAAGGGAGGAGAGATCTATATATATATATTTTTACCTCTTGGCCCATTTCCATGCTGCAAAGTTTTGTTGATTGAGCTTTGGCATCAACCATAACATTAAACATGGTGCATATTGACTGTGGGACTCGAAAATCTGTTGATCGACTGGTTTTTTGCAGCTTAACTTCAAATGCAATCCTGGTTCTATTAAAACAAAGTAGGAAAAGACCAATTCAGCATTCAGATGGCAGCGGGAGGAGGAGACATTTTCTGAGAGGTCAGTGGAAAAGAAAATTGAAGGCTGTAATCAGTTTCAATCGACAATGACTTCACATGTGTTCTTTTAAAAATGACTTTCCCAGCTCAGGAAGGCCTATTCAGGGAGACAGCCACGCACACCCTTCTTTCTCGGCAGTGCACGGAACACCTGTAGCTCGGCGTATTTCTGTCTGTCGCTCACATGCTATGGAGAACTCTAATTGCAGGAGAATGAATGAATGAACAAAAACCCAATTACAGCACATGTAAGTCCTCTCACACTGGCAACTACCTACCTTGAATCCCTTCATTTAAAAAAACCACCCCCCCCAGCAAAAAAAATAAAAAAGCAGTTTCTAATCTTCACAATCTCTTGGTGGGAAAAAAATCTTAAATGACATTTATTGTTTTATTTATTATTTAATTTTATCTCTAATCTTCACAATCTTCTGGTGGGGAAAAAAATCTTAAATGACATTTATTGTTTTACTTATTTATTAATTTTATTCTGGCTTTGAAAGAGACTGAAATTAAAAACAACAACAACAAGCTTATTAGATTGCTTTAAAGACTAAAAATGAGATGACTACCTTTGCGGAGGAGAGTGAAATTAGGAGAGGTGGTAAGGGGGGACTTCCACTATGCTTGCTTGTTTGTTTGCATTGCCATGTCAATGCTTTATTTTGCAATAAAGAACACATTATACTTATAAGTAAAAATGTCATGCCATACTTCCCACTTCAAGACTTGTGTAATGGTGGAGATTTACTGTGACATCATTCTGACTTAGGTCAAACCATGATCCTAGCAATGTGCTAACTGCTCCCGGTAAAGCTCGGTTCGACCTGACCAGCTAGTGCTACAGGTGTGAGATTTAATCCCTGATATCAGCCTGTAGAGGGGCCCAGTTATGGTTTGAAAGGTTTCAGAGAAACGGGTCACATCCTCATCACATGTCTTTAGAGAAAAGCACCTGGTTAGTAAGTGGTTTTACTAAAGGTCCTTTGTCCAAGGCATCTTTTCAGCATTGTGCCCGGTCAGGTTCTGGAGATCGCGCAGCCCCCAGGAAGGCATCGCTTTAAGAGGCATTTGTAGCAGTTTCCTAACAGTGCAGAGAGGACCACACAGCTAGCTAGCTCGGAGAGGGTGCCAGCTTGCTAACATACCCTGGGTGCATGAGGGAAGCCAAGTATAATTTCTAAGGTTGGAAGCTCAGCTCTTAAGCAAACTACTAAAAAAAATGCCTTCAAACACTCCTATATATTATATGATCATGTTAAAGATAAATGTATCTTGGCTTCTGAGGACTCGGTGCACTGATGTAGCTTTCTGATCACGATGATCATTTTAAGCTACGCTGCAAATACATCACGTTCTGGTTTTGTGCAAAGGAGGCCTGATGGGGACTGAGTTGGACAGGTCCCTGTGCTGATCTTCTCAGGCTCACTGGCCAGTCCCGGCCCAACTTGAGACAGGGAAATGCTAAACTGATTCCTTACAATGAATGCAGTAATCATCTGCTTTCATAGGAGATCTGCTCATAGCCCTTAGAGCGTGGGGCTGTGAAAACAGGAAGCCGAATGCAAAATTAATATGACCAAGAGGGCTCTATGGGGCCAAAAGGCAGGAATGGAGAGGTCATTTAATCCAGCTGATGCTCTTTGAGGGCAGAGTTAGGGCACCATGTTTTGTGTGGAGCACAGCGCCTGATGTAGACTAGACTAGAGGCTCTGTCAGGTTCACTAAGTGGATGCTATCATCAAATAAGTTATTTCAATTTCTTAGAAACTTGGCAATGAGGAGTACTGATTGACTTCGGTGTTGCATATTTACATCCATGAAATCATGTCCTTACTCTGTTATCCTAGAACAGGGGCCCTTTATTCCGTCCCAAACAGTAAAGCAAATGTTCTAGGCTCTACGAATGTGGGCTCTATGTCTTAAAACACCCACAGACTGTTTCATGTCTTACCCTCTGCCTCTGGCTGTCTGGGGACGATATTTCCACTCATGTTTGCTCTTGTCTGGTTTGTGCTTAGACTGGGGCCTTAAGTGGAAGGGACACCAGGGTCAGGAGTACATGTGCAGGTGACCAACTCCTAGTAATAAACAGTTACTTAACAGCTACCATGTGTCAAGCATGATGCTGGGACCTGGGACGGGCGAGGAACTCAAAATGAACGAGATACACCGCCTGCCTCTGAGGAGCTCACACTCTCTGAGTGGCTGACTCCTAGCCCACCTATATGTCATCTCCTATTACTTATTATCTATTCAAAAGACTGGCTCTCCAGAGAAGGGCACGCGTGTCTTTCTGTACAACCGCGTGCACAGCTCAGAAGCGAGTGGGCCTTCATTCTAATGCATTACAGTCCCAAGGAGCGTTTCGCCAGAGGAGCTACTTTGACGAGCAGTTTTTGTGTGAAATGGTTTAGCCATAGGAGAAGATTGGCTTTTCCTAAAATTGAGACAGACTCTGTAGGAGATGGTGAGAGTCAAAACCCTAAGGAAACATTTTGACCTTGGGGTTGAGACATAGGCCTGCCTTTGAGTCCAAGAGTGGGAAGAAAAGGACAAAGCGCAGGATCTGGGTCACCGGGACTTAAGTTCCTGAGGATTCTCCATAGCGCGCTGCTCTTTCTCTAATTCCTGCCAAGAAGCTCACCTACCTGTGACTATGTCATGTTTGCCTTCTGGTTCCAGTTTTGATGCTATTACATCCCTTTTCTTTTTCCAAGATATAACACGATGAACTCAGAGCACTCCCAGCCAAACCCAGTCCCTGACTCCCACAACTGGTCCATCAACTAAACTACACAACATCTGGAAAGCCAAGTGGCCTGTGATGCTTGCGGTCTTTTTTTTAAAATGAGGAATAATAATGGAATTGTTGGGAACTGGCAGAAGCACTTGGACATGTGTCTGGGGATAGACAGGGTGATGACAATGGTGTCACATCTGAGGCTGTGTGGATACAGACACTCCATGAAGGAAGGGTGCAGTCCTTGGCACGCTGGGAACGCAGTCCTGTGCCTGCGGAGAGGAGGAGCTCGAACAATTCCCGGAGAAAGGATGCACGCTGTTCTCCTTTTCTTCTCCTTGCCTGCAGAACAGTCACCTGGGGACTGCAAGGGCAGCCTTCCCACCTCAATCCCACATCCCACGGGGACAAAGCAGGCAGCATGCCCTCTTGGTGATATCTAGTTAGATTTTGCACACGACATCTAATAGCCGGCAGGTAGTACAGGCTCGGTTCCCATGTACAGAATGAATGATGCTGCTCAGGTCCTGCCCACATGGCTGGAAATTCACTAGATTCCTGCCCCTGCACTGGATTCGCTGGCTCAGCAATAGGATGTGCTTCTTTGATTTCCATCTAGCTGCCCACCATGCATACACTCCTACATCTAAAATATGTTTACTAAGTATTTTGCGCCAGATGCTGCTAGATGTCAGAGATACAAACAAGAACCGACACGGAGCCTTTCCTATGGAGCTCAGTGAAATAACAGCCACGTCGTTTGCTTGGGGCAGGTGTGGGGCAGGTGAACAGAAGCTGGACTTGGGTGGCCACCACTCCAACTGACTTTGATAAGCAGTCACTTTCTCAAAAAAAACTCCAAGTTATGGCCAATCAGCCCTGCCCTGGGCCAGTGTGTGGTGGGAAAGGCGTGCAGAGACCGCCCAGGCGCCGGGCTTACCTTTTGACACAAGATTCTATCATGTCACTTGCCATCAGCTTCAGCCGTTGCTCCAGGTGCTTCCCAAACTCTTCCTCGGGCCAGTGTAAGTCCCGAATGAAGGTCTGAAGGGCATCGAGCTTCCAGAACAGATCCTCCGAGGTGCCTGATCCGTTGCTGGCAGGGTAAAAACAAAAAACCAAGAGTCACCCACTGGCCTTGGGCTCTGAAAAGCTGACACAAAGACAACTGGGACTAGAAGGCTCGAGGCAAACAGTAGCTTCAACATACAAAACGACGCGTGTTGGCGGTGGAGGTGGGGGCATTCTCCACCGGCAGATTTTGAGTTTTACCATACATGACCTAGGCGGCTTTGTTCAGCCAATTATTCAGACCAGTGAGAAGTCTGAGGGACGTATTGCCCCATCACGGCCAGGAGAACAGTGTATGGTAAAAATCAGCCTTCTTTTAATAACCACATTAACACATGTGATGATTCAGATGAAGGCCACGAACCAGAGGGGGAAGTAAGTTTCAACAAATAATAACTACATGGCGACATGCAGTTATTAAAATTCGGGCTTCATGCATTTCCCCAGCTCCCCTCCAGATGGAGGCCTCTTGGAGACTGCACAGACAGTGCTAACAAAGTGGTGAGCGAGGACCTGCTTTCTCTCTTGAAGAGCTGGAGAGAAGTTGGGGTGACTCAAATTGAGATGAGTCCACCTGGATACCTTGAATCCATGCGTCTGTTCAGATTGGTCATTATTCCAATAGACCAGCCCATTGCATAGGCAGCCCCAGGAGGAGGTTGGGGGTGGGGAGGTGAGTGGACAAGAGATATTTGCAAAGCTTGTTCATTTTTTTTTAAACCATTGCACCATCTTACCCAGTCCAGATGGAGGAATTGGTCCTGATTCCTTTCTGTACAATGATGTGTAAGAAACTTTTACCTGGGGCCTCCACGGAAAGCCTGTGTATGGGAAACGCTCCATCTCTCACCCTCTTGCCCTTCTCTGGCTGGCTTTCTCTTTTGTAACAACCCCATTTGGAGCTCTGAGGGGTGGCCACCTCCCACCCCCTTCCTCGCATACCACTAATGCTAACACAGTAATTTATAAAATGTCCAACACACCATGCATTACCACTTGTTCTGACATCGTCTATAGAAACAGATGAGAGTGGGTGTTTCTATTGTGACAGATGCCAGCTGCATTGAATTAATGCTTCAGAGAGAAATATAGCTAGTGCATAAATGCATACACAGCTACTGCGGGTGGGGGGGGGATGCTCCCAACATGCCAAGAGGGAGCCTACGGCTTCGACCAACAGGGACATGTTTTCAAGGACAGACCAGTCTGAGGTCAGTACGTAGACGTATCTGACACGGAGGAGCAGGTAACATGGAGACACGACCTTTAAATGAAAGGTGGCAAAGGAGGAAACTGGAATTATGAAAAGATATAGAATCAGGCATTTCCTGGTGGGCGATTGAGAAGCTAGGCCTTCTTTTCAGATACTGCCATACGCATTGCTCCAAAGTGGGGGGACGCTTCGTTTCTCCGTGGAGGTTCAGCCTTCCCCCTTCCCCCATCCTAGGCTTGGGAAAAAGAAACCCCAACTTTGTCTAGTCTAAACCCCGTTTTGGAACTGCATGGTTGTATGTTTTAAATCATTAAGTACATATGAATGCAATAATTGGTATTTATTACAACAACATTTTGACACCCATCTGGTTTCAGAGTTTCAAAAAATTCTTCTAGGGTTTTTTTCTTTTTCTTTGAAGAGCTTATTATTAAGTTTTGACATGAGGAAAAGAATATTTTCTTTTTATTTTTAAGATAAACTGTTAATGTTAAGGCAATAGCACCAAGATTATTTTGATTGCTGAGCAGTTACCAAAATGTGTTCCCACTCATGCCTTAATTAATCGACAGAGACCATTATCTGCTTTATTACAATGTCTTGATTCATATCTTTTCAAAAACAATGTCACAGGGCATGCAGAGAAGAAGGTAAAAAGCTTTCAGATATTTATTTTTAATTATTAACAGATAATACCTAATCTAACTTTTAATATAGTCATCTTAGCATGAATATGACTTATGTGATTTTTTTTTAGATTTTTTCAGATATAAATTTTTAGAGATTGTGATTCATCTTTAAAAGAGAAACAGACACACTGACCCTGTGATTTCATTGTGAACTTGTGAACAAGCTCAGTTTTTTTAAAAAATATGGGCAGCGTTGGAGGAGCCCAGTAGAGCAGTGGTTTTCAGGTCCTGTGCTCTACCTGCATCGCAGAGCAATGGAAATGTCCCGGGCCATCTTGACGGATGTGATTTCAAGGTTTCAAAACTCACTGCCAGTTTCAGATCATTTTTTATTCCTTTGATAATAACACTTCCCTTTGAAAACGTGCCAATTTATTCTTTCAAGAAAAAGCTTATCTGGCCTATAATTAGCTGTGGTCTAAGAAAAGGATCAAAGGGGGCACAGAATCGCGAAGCCTTATTTCACTTATTAAATCATGCACGTGGTTCTCATTTCATTTCCCTGAGGTGGAATTTAGAGGTGCTGGATCTTCTTCTTGCTGAGGAAAGAGAGGATTCATTTCCAAAGCCTTGGGACAAATGGCGGCTCAGCCTCCATTCCCCTAACCTGCTGGCTGGCATGAAAGGGATGGCTCGGCCTCCAAGAAAACGAACCCCGCGTGGCCCGGCATTTGGTAAAGAGTTTCTACACTCAGACCACAGGGGATACCGCTACCAAAAAGCTTCATATTTGTTTTTTTCAGTCTTGCAGTCTCCCATTTAGAGACTTTGCTACCTAGGTCTCAGTGCTCAGTGCTACTCGATGACCTTGGAAAGTGTTGTTACGTACATGACTGGGGCTCGATCCATTCAGAAATTTTCATTTAGCCCTCAACATTCTGCTACTATAGCTTGCCTTTTGCTGACACCAGAAACACACTTTCTGGTTTAAACAGTCTCTGGGAATTATTTATTATTATTATTATTTTTAAAAAAGAAAGCTTCAGGTAGGTGTGCTTCCCTCTTAAATTTGGATCAGGCCAGAGATGACAGGTCAGCCCATGAAAGAGGTTTCCTGGACTATTTCTGGATGAATAACTCCTAAAGCCATGCCACCTGTATTAAAAATAAAACAAAACAACAAAATATGGGCAGGATCTTTTTGCAAAAGAATTCAGGAAGTGAAACATAGTCCTCAAGCATTCAGTGGGCGTAAGAAAAATTGTTAGTGCTGTATATATAGCAAACATCTTACAAACACGCCACATGCCAGAAATAAACAATATTGTCTCTGTATGATCAGCAAAATATGTCTAATTATCCCTCTCCATCTCTGTTATATGGGATGTATAGAAATAAACAAGACATATCCATGCCAAGATCACTTAAATTTAAATTAGATCTAATGTGAACTGAATACACACTCAGCATCATATATAGCAGCCATCCATGACGGTGCCGAAAAAGTAGGCATTTGTGGGATGCCTAGAGGGATGTTAACTGGTAGATTTGGTACTTTGGGAAGGTTCACATTGGGTAGGTTCACATTGGGTAGGTTACTGGTTAAACTCCTGTGGAAGAAACAGACAGAAAGAAAAAATACCATCACAGTGACAATGCAGATGAGGCAGAAGCACGCAACAGGTGTAAATAAATTGGCTAAGTCCACAGCAAGACAACAGCGACACACTTCAGAAAGTAGCTGACGGATGGGCAGCGGTGGTGTGGCTCAGCAGTCAGAGAAAATGACAGAGTTTAATGGAGAAATTAACCACAGAGTGACTTAAAAGCGTGGACAGTCATGGACACCTCTCCACAATGATCACATATTTCAATGCCTTTGTGCAGGGTCTGCAGCTTTCAGGTCCATTGGCATGAGCGTCTAGAACTTGTCCTGCGCTAGAAACTTGAAGTTAGTGGAATCCTTGGCATTGCTGTGGCTAAGGGTGCTGAGGAGTAACTGGGATGGAAAGAAAGGGCGGAGCACTTTTATTTTTCTTACTTTTGTTTGTAACCTATTTTTGATGGGGGCACATTCCTTGGGTCAGATATTAGCTACACGATGTAACAGGAAATGTACCCACCAGGTGGTGGTGGACAGAAACAGAATTCTTTCCAATCTCTACTTCTGAAGACAGCTGTGTGTGCCATGGGGCATCTGAGTTGATGGCAAAGACGAAAGTATTGTATCAAGAATGACTGGCTTCAAATAATTTTACAGAACACTTGAAAACATGGAAACTTCCCCTCTCAAATTAAGTCTAATTAAAATGAAGAAATATTTACAAATTGCAAATTAAAAACACACACCCAAATTTAGCTCTTATAGTAAATTCTTTGGCCACAAGTGGATTTAAAATGTGGCCTCATGTTATAGTGATTGCCCTCAAACATGAGATAGAGACCTTAGAATGAACGGCAGTGCTCCTGGGGTGTTGAGGGGGGCTGTTTCTTGATCTGTGTGGTTGTTCTATAGGTGTTTTTAGTTTGTGAAAATTAAAGATGTATTTTCCTATAAGAAGTTAAAATTTAAGTTAAAAATGAATAAATCATTTAAAAGTGTGACTTTATAGAAGCTTTTTGTTCTCGAACGAAGATCGATCAACTGATGTGATGAAAGAGAGAGGAAGGGCTTTATGACTGGAGAGAGAAAAACAAAACAAATCAATAACCCCAACTAGAGTCAACCGTGTCTCTTCCAAGGACTGTGTCATATGCCGTCCCAGGCTGGCACCGCGTGCCTCTGTAGCGGCATTTTAAGGGTGTTCATCCAGCCAGAGTCACTGGCACGGTGGAGCCCAGCCTATGCATCTGAGAGGAGCCTTCCTGTGGAAGGAGGGTTGACAGCACTTTGGCAAAGGAGTTGAGGCTTTCTTTTTGGATCTTGCAGGAGAAGAGCGAGTTTGCCAAAGCAGCTCTGCCCCGGGCAAGCTGTGTTTGCCTAACAGAACTCTTGCAAGGGCTGGAGCCGCCTCTGGGCTTGCTCAGGGGGGCAAGTCAGAAAATCTGGCCCCTGTAGGTAGTCTGGGCAGGTGTCTCCCTTTAGAAACAAGTTCTTCTTTCACAATGACAACATAGCTCATAGATGGAAAAACCTAGAATGTAAATTGCCAACCTGGCATTCTCTTCCTGAAGGGACACAGGTGTCTCACAGGTGTGTCCTTTACCCTTCACACGTGGGAAAACGAATTGTGCTTTTCTACTTGGGACTAAAGGGTGCTCCTGTGGAAATGGTCAAAGGAAGAAGCTAAATATGACAGTTAAGTAGAAGGGAAAATGGCACTTTCTGTTCATGTTTCTCTGTTTTCCTGGGCATTTGCCTTTGAATTCAGTCCCTGGTGGTTCTCAGTCTTAAATGCTGCCACGTAACAAAACCGTTGGCGATTTCCACTGAGACATGTGTAAGCCCACATAAGCACATGTGATCATTAGATGATGCACACACTGAATAATGATCGAGGAATTAGGAGAGCTTTAGAGATGGCAGTGTGGAAAGTTAAAATGTCAATTCTGAGCAAATTAAAAGTAGCTAGAAATGAATAACATACAAATGTATGCAAAAGCAACTTAATTTAAACACATTAGTGGATGGTGGGTACACAAATCAGAAATGAGCTTCGTCTTGCACACAAAAATTAAAAAATACTTATATTAATCAGAACATATTGTACTTGTAAAATATGACATTTTGGCTGGACTGCTGCGCTGGACTCATAAAACATTTCCTTCATGTGACATATTATAATGCTCTGCTTTCAGAAGGCTGAAGCATGCTTGATATTTCTGCTTTTAGCAAAATAATATCGTGCAGTACTAAGGTTACTAATATTTCATTTGGATATTAATAACATATTAATAATTAGAGAGGCAATTCCAAGCATTAGATACATGTGGATCCGCTGATGGCTATAACCAATTATTATTTTAGAGGGCCCGTTAGCAACTACCTAAAAAGTCCATCATGCTTCTCTGTGAGAATCATAATTGGATATCTCTGAATAGTAGAAGTGTGAATTGCAATCCTCACATCTGATACATGTTAAAAATTAGACTCATTCATTTTGGGGATGTGCTGAAAAAGGATCACTCCCATGCATGTCAAAGGGCCCCGTCTCTGGAACATTGGATTAAAAAATTCTCATCTGCTCGCTCCCACATGGATGAAAGCAACAACTATGTGGGCACCTCATCATCTCTGCTGATGGCAATGACTAGAGCGAGAGTCATTCCTTGCTTCTGGAATTGATTATAATCGAGACTGGGTCTCCCTGCAGAGACGACATGGTTGGGTCTTCTCTCAAAGAAGCTTTAGGTTTATGGATGGGTTAGATGTAAGATACGGATGTCTCCTATGTTATCAGCCATTTGTTGCTGAATATATGTAATACATCTTGTCGTCTCTCGGTGCTCTGGACACGAATGTCTCTCTCTGTGCTTTTCTTAAGTCTTATTCCTCCTTTGAGGCATGGGCACTTTGAAGTCTCAGAGTTTTGGGCAGTATTTATCAACCTTTTATTCATTATCATCATCGAACCACCCGACTGCCTTCCCCATGAAAATTTAATAGCACCAATATACTGTATGTGAATGTACATAACAAGAGCAAGATATTTCTTCCCTCCCCAACTCCAAGAACCAACCTGCACCAGCTCCAGGAGCTGTAAAGCCCCCTTTTAGAATGCACAACCTGGAGAATAACGTTTCAAACTTCCTGGGATTTTAGAAGGTCCCACACATTTCTCCAACCTTATCGCTTGCCTCCTTTATAATCCATGCTGGCCCAACAGGGCGTTGAGTTTCCATTGCACACCTCACTTGCCCCCGTGTTTCTACCTCTGCTCATGCCCTTTCCCAGCACCTCTGCGCCTCTTGAAATCCTAGGCTCCCAGCTCTTTATTTCATGACTCTTCAGCGGAAGTTCATCCCCTTCCAGGCTAAGCTCTTCCTTATGTGATTTGGTAAATACAATGGTGAACATTTAAAGTCATTTTTTTCTTGCATGCTTGTTGCTCAGACCCAACTATACTGAAATCCCTAACAGAGGATATATCTTTTTCTTCCTCCTTTCCCACAGTTTTTCTGTTGTATCCTTACAATTTTTAGCCTATATGGTTCCCCAATAAAGGCCAGTTAATCAATAAATACTCACTGCACACCTATGTCCCAGGCCCTGTTCTAGGTGCTAAGGAGGCAATGGTGATTAAATGTGAATATGGAAAATCACATTTTCTAGAAGGTTAGTGTTGGAAAAGTCTTGGGAATTCAAAGTCTTTGGTTTTCAAAGAAAGATACTGAGGCACAGCAAGGTCTGCTGACTTGCCCAAGGTGACCCAGCACTTTGCTGGCAGAGTTGGGAGTCTGACTGCATGCCTACAACTTGTCTACTTCAAACAGGACATCTCCATATTGCTAAGGTGTCTTTGGTCTGACAGTTTGTTATTCATTAATATATTGACAATCTGGAAAATGATATTCTTTTTAAAAATAATTTCCATATGTATAGCTCAGACAGAGAGAGGGAAAGTGCATGTTGAGAAATCCAGATTTTCCGTGTATCTGCATCAAGAAGCAGGGTTCAGCTCTCCCACTCAGTCATCCCCGCCTGAAACAGGAACCATGACACCGTGATTCCCTGTGCCTGCAGCTGTTCACCTGCAGATCGAGAGAGGATCTGCCAAGGAGAGGGTAGTGCAGAGAGGGTACTAGGCTTGGAAAGCTTTGGATTAGACTCTTTCTAAATTTTCTTCCACGATGACTTGACTAACAGCGAACCAACTCTAAAGAGCTGGTGGAAATGTTGCCCATCTGCTAGTTAGGACCGAAAGCTGATCCTCAGGGCTGCCGGAGGGCTGTGCACACCTGTCCCGCTTGGGTGGTGGCCCAGTGACATTTCCTGACGGAGACCTTGGAGGGGGCTCCGGGCTCCAGCTCAAGCCTGGCCTGGAGAGGCTGTCTGTCTCCAGCTGTGGCAAGCAGCTAAGTGCTAATATTCTCCAACCGAAACACAGAGGTTCTAACCGTGACACTCTCTGGCTTGATGGGAACAGCGATGAGCCTCCCTTTGTTCTCCTTGCAGAGGTGGAAGGCCATCCCTCTAGAGCAGTGGTTCTCAACCTTCTGGCCTTTAAAATACACTTCCTCATATTGTGATCCAACCATAAAATTATTTTCGTTGCTACTTCATAACTGTAATGTTGCTACTGTTATGAATCGTAATGTAAATATCTGATATGCAGGATGGTCTTAGGCGACCCCTGTGAAAGGGTCGTTTGACCCCCAAAGGGGTGGCGACCCACAGGTTGAGAACCGCTGCACTAGAGAAAGCAGCACTAGGACTGAGCCTTTTACCCTTCCTGCCAAATAACTTGTACCAAACCCTAACGATGATTACATCTCTATTTGCTTTTACGTGGCCATATTTTAAAATAAGAAAATCTGAAGAATATTTAAAATCTGCTTTTAGTGAGCTCCTCAGAGTGCTGTTTTTCTTTAACATTTTGAACACCAGTTCCCGTGAAGGAAGCTTTTGCAGTGCACTCTGCAGTCATTTAACCTATGGTCAGATACCTATAGTTATGACTTTTGAAAAGTGGAAGAACAGAACTGAGTGTAACAAATGTTTGAAAGAAGGGCTGTGGTCTCTCTATGTGTGTGTGTATATTGGGGAATCATGTGCCAAACTTCAAGAAGATTGAGGAAACCAAATCTACTTATGTAAGTCAGTTTCTTGTTTTTGAGTAAGTTTGATGAAAAGCATTCCAAAAAATCATTCTTTACTTAGAAAAACATCCACAAAGAAAAAGAAATCTCTGCTTCTTTATCAAGCCCCTAGCTGGTCAGATAAATGTTTGTTCTTACTTCGTTTCTCTTCACATGGAAGGGAGTACAGAGAGACTCATTCCTTTTAGCACATAAGCATGTCCCCAAGATCCTTCCCCTTCGTTTCCTGCTGGCCATTCTGCAAATCTGTCCCATGGTATCCACACTTTGTATACAAATCCCCTAATACGATGTGCGGTTTCCATGAATTTTAATTTAGCCTATGTTTTAGTTGGCACTTTCAAATATCTCTATATACTCTGAAGGGCATATCCTATTTAGCATGAATTGGATAAACCACAATCATGGTAAAAGCTACATAAAAAATACATCAACAAAAAAGATTCTCAGGTTATTATTTATGACTATTAATCCTTCACTAATTTTCAGACCTTTAAATTACTGATCTATGAGTTCAAATTTTATTTTGTTAATCACTTAAAAATACCCAATAAAATATTCCCACAGTAAGACCTCCAACTGTGAAAATCAGTTTGATTCTGTCTTTACTTCTGACAATATTAAGAATAGTCAGCACTTCAAAAAAGAATTAGCAGTAATTTGCTTGGTGTCTGAAGAACTGAACAGATTATAAAATGGCTTTAGTGACCTTGTCACAGAACTTCTTGACAATTCTTGGACACCGAGTAGGGACATTTTTAAAAGTCAGTTTTGCAGATGAGAGAGCAGTTTCATTGCCTTTGTTAGCCTTCTGGCTACTGAGTGGAGGGCGAGGCCCTCGCTCTAGGGCCCTTTAAGAAGCAGTGCAGGATGCCAATCATTTCTTCCTATGTGTGTCCATAGTAGTAGCCTCCACATCTAAACCCAAGCAAGTAAATGCTATTTCAATACCATAGCTATTTTCAAAATGTGAATATTACTACATCTTAGCCTTTTCCCTTCACAACAGTTCTTTAAGCACATCTGTGGGGATTACAGTGAGCATTAAAAAAATAGAGTCCCTTGTTAATCAAGGGACGCAGTTTTATTCTCATGAGTTAAAAGTCACAGGGAAAATAGTAAGAGACTGTTGTGGAATTGAGAATAACAAGCTCAACTCCAGATTTCTTGGTATGATACCATAGCTATTTTCAAAATGTGAATATTACTACATTTTAGCCTTTTCCCTTCACAACAGTTCTTTAAGCACAACTGTGGGGATTACAGTGAGCATTAAAAAAATAGAGTCTCTTGTTAATCAAGGGACCCAGTTTTATTCTCATGAGTTAAAAGTCACAGGGAAAATAGTAAGAGACTGTTGTGGAATTGAGAATAACAAGCTCAACTCCAGATTTCTTGGTATGTGTTTGCAAATAAAGAGCTACTGCCTATTAACCTGCTTGCAGTAGGTAAGTTAAGACACTTCCTCCCTGGCTCTGATGTGGAAGGAGGGCTGAGAAAGCTATTTTACATTAATTTCTTTATTAATTATCTCTATCTAGGAGCCCTCTACATCCCCAGAAAGCAGAGTCTGGACCTGCCCTCCGGCATCTGGAGTCCGGCCCTCCTCCTTGCCTGGGAGTGGAGATGGCAGTGAATCCTCTAGACATTTCAAGCAGATTCCCCAGGCAGTTGTGGATATGCTAAATTCACAGTCCACAGGATTTCCTGGAATTTGTCCTTTAGATTGATATCCCATTAAAAAAAATGAGTACTGTGGTCAAATAACCCTGGGTTAAGCAGAGTTAAACAAGGCTCTGTATTACTATGTTAGAGTTTTGAAATACACTGACTGGTTGCTTCGTGGCTCCCCAGGAGACAAGGGTGTGGAGTACATAGAGGTTTCTAACCGTATTTGGCCACAGAGTCCTTTTCTTGAGGTACGTCTCAAAGGCTTAGGCCAGAGAATGGCTAACTATGGCCCACAGGCCAGTCTCCTGCTTTTGCAAATAAACTTTCACGGGAACACACGTTTATTCCTTTACCTATTGCCTATAGCTGCTTTGGCGCTACAGCAGCAAAGTGGAGTTGTGACAAAGATCATGTACCTTGAAAAGCCAAAAGATTTATTACATGGCCTTTTATGGAAAAAGTTTGCTGAGCCCTTGTCTAGACCCTGTGGAACACACTTTGGGAAACGTTAACTCCTAGGGAAACACCATTGGAGTAAGATACTCAGTAAAAATACCACAACCGGGGTTCTATCCCTTATTCCTTATTTACCCTGTGAAATAAAACAAAGATTTCATTTCATAAAACATTTATCGACCTCTTTCCCACTCCCCCTTTGGCCAAAGAGACCATGTGCATCTGAGTTGGAAACACGGCCAGTTTTTGTTCTCCGTCATGCTAACACTGAAAACCATAAGACACCGTTAATCCACTTCCGTATGACTCTCCAGCTATTTGCACCCAAACTCCAATGGTATCAAAAGAGGTTTCCTTACTTGACTGGTTCCCATGACTCCCGCTCAAAGCCCCTGTGAATGGATTGTGCAATTGAGGACTCCATCAGATCCACATATCTAACCACAAGTGGGGCAAACAGGTCTTGCAGGTGCTTGTGGAACTTTCCATTGCACAGATTATCTAGAACAGAGAAGCAAAGTCTTGGTAAGGGCCCACAGTTGCTTTGTCAGCACACAGCATACACACAGAGAGGATTGTCTTTGACATTAAATCCATGGCTTCTAAGAGAGCCCCGACCCCCCAAAAAGAGAAAGAAAAAAGTACAGGAACAGAACCAAATTTCATGCTTCAATCTGTGTAGGAAGAAAATGGAATTCTAAAACATTTTACCCATTTGCGTCCCTCCTCTCAAAAAGAAAAACAATCATTTTCCTTTAAAAGCAACAAAACAGCAACCAACCCTTTTTTAGGAGTTCCTGGCACCCACTCCCTTCCTCCCACGGTGTTACCGTTTGCGTCCCTCCTCTCAAAAAGAAAAACAATCATTTTTTTAAAAAGCAACAAAACAGCAACCAACCCTTTCTTAGGAGTTCCTAGCATCCACTCCCTTCCTCCCACGGTGTTACCTGGAGGAGAGATTATGCTACCCTCCCTTCATCACGGTCCCTGGGCAGGAAGGTCCACTTTATGACTCTGTGTTGTGTAAGATACTCGAAGATGCTTAGGGTGTTACTTAGCTAGACTTTCTTTTTTCATCTAAAAAGCAACTTTGGATAAAAATTAAAAAATATGAAGAGGCTAATTAGCTTGTTCCAGAACAAAGGAACCCCACGGACACCACTCCTGACACTGCTCTGGGGTTCTCCGGCTTAGTTAAGAGAGGGTTTCCCTGTCACAGGACATTTGTTGGAAGAAAGACCATCACCTGTCAGTTTAGCTAGACTTTCTTTTTTCATCTAAAAAGCAACTTTGGATAAAAATTAAAAAATATGAAGAGGCTAATTAGCTTGTTCCAGAACAAAGGAACCCCACGGACACCACTCCTGACACTGCTCTGGGGTTCTCCGGCTTAGTTAAGAGAGGACTTCCCTGTCACAGGACATTTGTTGGGAGAAAGACCATCACCTGTCAGTTTGTTTTTGAATGAATAATAAACCTACAAAGAGCTATGTCCAACCTGTAGTCTGTCTGGGATAAACGCATTTGAACAAGGTGCTCATCTGCACACGACTTAGGCTGGGCAAACAGTCGAAGATGATACGTACAGTCGGTGCGCAGAAAGTCATTCAGCAGCTGGAACAGTGGGAAACTGTCCCACGTGTCTGGCGGCTGCACCTCTAACGCTGCATCCATGTCCACCGCGAAGAGCGACAAGAACGTCTCGGCGTGCTCCACCATCAAGTCCGACCACCACGCAAAGGCCTTTGGAATTTGGCAGAAAAACAACAGACAGAAAGGCAATGAGCTTCGCACTCCCCGACGTGAGATGGGAAGTGAAGCCCTCGCTGGCCAAGGTTAAGTGTGCATCAGCAGGGTTTGGTAGTTTTATTGTAAAGAGAACAGCATTTTTGATTCAACGGGGCCTCTTAAGCGTGCCAAGGCCATGCTTTTCAGGATTCCAGTCCTGCCTTAGGAAGTCTTTCATCTGACCCACTGGTCAGAGGCCTCAGCTGTAGCTGTGACAGACGTGGAATTTCTGTTCAGTTTACAATAACTCGGTATGTTTTGGGTCATGCTCTTCATCACTGTTGTTGGCTGGTTCTTGCTCGAAGGTATTAGAATTTGGGAGTTTCTTCACTGTGTTTATGGGTTTTCTGCTGGTCTAACTTGAAAATTTGCAATGAGTGTTCACTTATGTCTACACGTGTGGGGCTTAATTGTCTACAGTCTCATACAAGGTCGATGACTCGTGTTTCTCCACGCGTTGGCCATGTTACTCCTCTTTCATACCAAGGCAAAGGAAACCAGTGTTGCAATTGTCACAAAACGTTTGAGTCAAAATCTCTGTAAGTGGGGAGCCTCTGGTTTTGTATCCTGCCTGGAGGGAAGATCAGGCTTACTCTGGGAACCAGTAAGATGAGGACTTACTTTTCTACTTTTCAGGGGGTGGGGTGGGGTGGGGTTGGACACATATGTACATTGAAAACCAAAAAATATCAGTGAAGTAACTCATTTTCATGCACGTGGGTCCTTGGAAATCATTGTGCAGGGTCTCGGGGCGACATTCACATCGGACCGGGCCAGATGTGAATGCAATTCAGAGGCATGCATGCATGTTGACTAATCAGTTCTGGCAGGGAGCATGCAGAATGAGTGGCGGTCACAGGCCCTTTTTGCTGATTTCAAAGACAGCAATAAAACAAAAACATCGCCAGCCTCGTCTTGTCCCCCGCCTCCCCACCCAGTGCCGTAAAGTATTTACATGGGAAACACTTTCAGGAGCATTCACCGAAAAAAAGATGGAAGGCGTTTGACAACATGAATGATGATTATGGAAATAATTCCATAAATGAAAGTGTTTGTTCAATAGCCAAGCTTTTCTGTAATCTATGGTTATTTGGGGACATTCTAACAGCCACTAGGAGGCAGAATAGTGGTCCACCTCTCCTCTTTCATGGGATTTCATTTTACTTACTTCTCCTTTATCAACATGTGGCTGGTTTGCAAATTAAATGGAAAAAATCAAGTCATGGACCATTCTTCAAGGTCAGCTTGGCTGGAAATAGACACCTGCTGTTTCCATTTTAATTTACAGTAAAACCTCACTGATTCAGAGTAATGGCAGGGGAGAAGGGCTAGTCGGTCAGCATAAAAGCCTAAATTACTGGGCTTCCTAAAAGTAGGTAGTTGCTGCTTTCAAAGGCAGTCTGAGCATCAACGTAGAAGGTACTCACTGGATATTATATGAATGCATCATAAATGTAAAAGTGTATCTTTTTCAAAACTTCTAATAATCATAGATAAATTGACATATAAATTGAAGTCAAAGACACAAAGGTTTAATTTGGCAGGTCCCTGGGTGACACTTGTAAGGAGAGCCTTCAGAATTTCCAGAGAAAGCTGAGATCATGTTACACACTTTACTTAAGAAAAATTAAGAGACACATCTGCAATGGCATTGTCACAAATGTCAAGTGTTTGCGTCTGAATCAAGGAGGTTTTATTGTAGGTTTACCACCTGAGGTGTGGGGCTTGCTCACTGACTACCTGGCGGAATCCAGCGGAGGCAGGGAGCCTCCAGCCCGCCCTGAGCTCTCCCAGCAGCAGCCTTTTAGGCGGAGACCCTCTGCTTGTCAGACTTTGCTGGAGCCCCGCCCCCACCCTAACTGGAGGGCTGACTGTCATCCGTCCTGATGCGGGATATTCACAGAATTCACAATGGCACATGGAAATCTTGGCTGGTACTTATTCTACTTATTCTTTAGTTATTTGATAAAAACAGTTACTGGAGAGACTGAGTTGCTTTCTCTCCACGCCCCCACACCCCACCCCAGGATGACAGGACAAAACACCAGCCCTAAATGCCTGAAATTAAAAATTGTTTAACCTAGCCTTGAACCTGTTTCTTACCACCTTTATTTAAAAGTTGCAAACCACAGACCATGACCAGCACCTCCTTTACTATCTGTAGAGAACTCAGTCCCTCCTTGGAATTTAATAAGTGATCGAGCGATTGTCTGCAGTTGTGGTGTGAATAATCATATAGGTAGGTAGCCCTGCAAAGAACAATGGCTGCTGTGATAGGAATGCTTGCTCCTGAATTCCGGCAGAGGGACTTAGGGTTCTAGGGAACAGAGAGAACTGAAATGCACGACTGTGAGGGAAGGAAGGCCGGAGCTGACTGGGGGCCCAAGGTGATTCTTTCAGAATCTCATCCTTGAACCCGCTTCCGAGGAGGAGGAAAGATTCTGGCAAGGGCAGGAATGACCAAAAATGAGCAGAGTCTGTGTGACTAGATTGGGCAAGGCAAGTCTTCAAAATTAAAAACCAAAACAATACTTATTGGTTTTGTTTGCTCAGACAGGTGGACACTATTTTGGTACATGAGCTAACTCAAGGTCTGTGGGCATTGAAAGTCTTTAGAAATCTTTTCCAAAGAAAAGAAGAAGTTATACTTCGGCTTCTAAATACTTACCCAGTGCTTTTCATTATTAAAGGCAAAGATGTATGCTTTAGGGGTACAGTCAACCACACTGAACACACTGTATTTTTGTACACAAATTCTAAATATATATGTACCCCTCTGTGTACTACCACAATACATATATACATATACATACATATACATAGAGAGAGAGGTTGGGAAGTTAAAGCAACAATACATGAAAGTGTAGTGTAGCGTGTGTGTGTGAATAACTTAGGCTCTGAGAGCAGAATTATGCTGCAGGTAAGAGATGAACGTGACACGGCTACCATACACTATGTGTGTATGTGATGTGTTTGTAGCCATGGGAAATGTTATCTCTTGGGGCATTTAATTACTTTATATTGGAATTTAAAATGGCTTTAAGGATTATTGATTTTTGGTGCGAGAGCAAGTCTGCTTGTCACTTTCATTTGTGGTGCCACCAAACATCGTGGCTACACAGCCAAGATGGTGCTTAGGATTTAGTAATTTGTTAGTTTCTTGAGCACCCAGAGGATGTGGCAGTGAGTACGGGCAGCAGAAAAAATGTTCAGACTTCAGCCTTGTCTCTAGCGTGCCCGGGCAAATCCTACTATGGCTGCACCCCTGGATCTTGACCGGGTTATCTACTGTAATCAGCCGGGCAGTGTAACAATTACCATACTTAGTCCCTCCCATGAGATTCCACCTAATGGACCTGGGGTAAGTCCTGGGCGTCAGCAATTGTTAACAGCTTCCCAGACGATGGCAATCTGTCAGTGAGCCTTGAGGACAGGTGCTGGTGCCCGTCTGGACAACTCCACCTTGAAACCAACCCACTCACCTTTCAACATAGTCTGTCTATAGCATTCGTTTGGTGCTCTCCACCTTGGTTTGTACTTTTTATGGTCCTTTTTGTATGTTCTGCTTCCATACCAATTTGTTCCTCATCACACAACAGTAGAGTTTTGTTGAGTGCTTACTATGTACCAGGCTTAATACCAGATGCTCTGCTTAATACAGCCTTCCATCCTCACAGCAGCCACGTGAGCTAGATTCTGTAGTTATCTCCCACTTACAGGGCAAGAGAGGTTAAGTAACTAGGCCACGATCACAGAGCAAGGAAGAAGCACAGCTGGGATTCAAACTCCAGCGTCTCTGGCACGGAGCCCGCGCTCCCGCCCACGACTGCCTCTGCCTCCTTGTCCTTCAAAGAAGCACAGAGGCCATCGCCTCAGTCTCAGCACACACGTAGCTTTTGACTGAGTGAGTGCTGAAGCTTTGTGATTGGGTGAAATCACTAATTCAGGAAATAATCCTGTACTTTTATCTAAAAACCAACAGGGTCTCCAAATTCCAAAGCATGCTGAAGTCTTCATTCCTAACTTCTAGAGCTAGTAAATGAAAACAGAACTGAGTTGATGTTTACCCGGACTGGCTTTCAAACATGTAAGATTAAAATATTTTTGTGATCATCGTTACCAGGGCAGTTTCAGATGATGATTAGCCCTTCGTGAAAAAGTATTTGGGGAAAAGTGAAAAAAAGTTACCAGGGCAGTTTCAGATGATGATTAGCCCTTCGAGAAAAAGTATTTGGGGAAAAGTGAAAAAACAAACAAACTGTCTTTTTCGGGATATCAACGTTCCTTTGGTACCTCTTTTGAGTAATTTGGGAAAATACCCATCCTTTCTTAGCCTGTAGCAGCCTCAAAAAGAACTTGATGATAAAGCAAGGACATCTGCCATGTTCTTTCTTTCATTTAATTAAAATTTCAACAGTGACTGAGGAAGGCCTTCTTCTTTGTGTGTATGTCTTAAAAAATGTGTGATTTGGTTTGTTATCAGGGGAGGGCAGTTCCGAGCCCGCCACTCCTCTGGAGGTGCCCTTGCAGACACCCGGAAAGAACATACTTACCATCACCTGAACCCCAAATGCCCCCAACCTGGAAAGAACTGTTATCAGATGGGATAGAGTAGGAAACAGTTCTAGCCCAACTTAATTTTATGTGTCTGCATGTTAGTCCTAGGCCTCTGTTTGGAGGGTGCTGGCTTGGCCCCGCTCCCCTCTCCCCGCTCCCAGCTGTGCGTTGCTGGGGCAGCAGGAATTAGATACACCCATCTGGAGGGGTCCTCACCCCATTCCTGGGAGGGTTCCGGACAAGTAACGATTCCGTGGCACTCTCTCTATATGTAAATACTGTATATACGGTTCACATACAGACAGTCGTAGAGGAAGATTAGTATCACTCTGGGCAGCTACTGGTTACCACGCTCGGTATTCATCTGCGGTAGGTACAGACGGACAGAGGGACTAGGACAGGCTGAGGACAGAGTCACAGCAGGAAGGAGGCACGTGTCGGGATGTAACTGCAGTCGTGGTCAGGTGTATCCACTGCTTCATGCACGCACGAGAGGATCCCCCCACATTCCTCTGGCGTGGAGGGCCCCCCATTTCACAAGCAGCCCCCCTGCAAGTTGCTGTTACATTCCTTTGGTCAGTGTTAGAAAGCGGGAGCCCCAGGAAAGTCCCATCGGAAGACAGGGCACCGGAAGGGCATGCACAGACTACGACAGAAGGTGGCTGGCTCATTCGGTGCAGGCACATACCTCTTTCCCCTGCCACGATCAGCCACGATTGAGTGGAACAGTAGAAAAACAGGGAGGAAATTTAAATATGCAAATCAGGCATTATTCGGGATGACTGGGTTTATGGGTATTAGATATTAGTTAGCTGTACTGTCAATTTCATTTAGTCGCAGGAATGACCATTTTAGGTGCTTGAGAAATTACTGTTATGGATTGCCTTTTCTTCCCCTTCTGCTGTAGAGTTGAATGGAGAGGAAGAGTGGGATTAGTGCAGTTTTCAGAAAGAGCTATGATCTTAAGCCTCCGTGTTGAAGGAGGCAGTGTTTTCACAGTGGGACCACAATAGAACCTTGAAATCTTTCTTGGAGGATCGGATTATTTAAGTCCTTACAGGTTTGGGACTTAGTTAGCCTTGAAATCCCTTGGTTTATAATTATTATCACCGGAACCATAGTTTTGACAGTGGTCTGTAAGAAAAAGTAAGCTGTATCTATTTAGATGTATGTTGGAGAATCGACAAGTGGAACAACACAGAATAATTCGCTTCTGGCCCTGCGTGTAGCCACCCAGGTCACCTGAGGTTAACAAATGAAGATAAATCCAAAAACGTGGCCTGCGATCCACACACCAAATAAAATAAAAGCAACAGTGGCGGCAACAAAAACAACCACAAAAGACCAAAAAGTATTTTGCGTGCTCCGGACAATAACCATATGCTGCTTGCATATTATTTTAAAAACACACTCACCTCTTTGGCTTGTTGCTAGAAACATCTGAAAACCTAAGCTGAAACGTACAACACGTGATCCCTTTTGTGTCGTATTCAACAGCCTTTCCCAGGCTTCTCCTCACCCACCTTCCACTTGCACTCCCTTGGCAAGGCCAGTTGAAAGCAAAGGGGGTTAAAGCACCTCACTCCCCACGTCACCTGTACCCTCAGTTCCGCAGCCGCAGCTGAGGAACCCGGGCCGTTTCCCAGGGCGCCGCTCACCTCTGCGTGATGCTCCTCATTCTGCTGGAGAACCTCAATGACTAGTTCAGCGAGACGGATTGTGTCTTCGAGCTTTTTGGCGGGAGTGATTAACCGGCCTACATTTTCTGGAGTACAAGAATCGGCGTTAAAATTCGGTGAAAGCAGCGGGCTGGTTTGGTGGCCGTTAGCACGAGTGGATAAGAAATTTTGAATAGTCACCCATGTTTTAAAAAAAGTGTCATGCAAATGTTAAGAGCCACAAGATTAGTAGTGAGCAAACCAGAAAGCCATATTATTGTTATCATCACCATCATCATCATCATCATCATCATGATCGATATTAAGGGAAAGCAGTGCTCCAGCTTCCAATTGGCATGTTAAGCTACAATTTCTTTGACAACCCATTTCAAATTGAGTGACGTTTTGTACACACGTTCTTTAAAGACAGCATAAGGATTCTATCTAATAGCACTGTCTGTGCTGTGCTACTCGGAGGGGACGATGCTACAGGACCTTGATCTTGATTGCTGCTACATTTGTTGCCTGGATTTGTCCTTAATCATGTGACACTGCAGAATCTTTTTCATTATAAGTCTGCAAGTTTAACAGGCATTGGAATGTTTGTTTTAAAAAAGCAGAGTCACAGATCTTGCTGTTTTAAGTTGTCCAGGGAGGAGACTGAAACTTACTGAACATCCCTGGGCCATTAGGTAGAAGGGTCAAATTGTTGGAAGGGTGTTGGGGGTAGATTATTGGCTGAAGTAGTGGTCGTCTGTGGTACTGGTGGGCACAACTGAAATCTTATAGGTTAGGTGGCAACAAAGTACTCAAAGTTTTTTCTCTATTTTCAGTTTTTATTGTGTTGAAAGGGTTCTTTTTAGCTGACTCAAGCACAAACAGAACTCTGGTTTATGTTGCACCCTTTATAGAGCTGAATTCATGAAAGTTTAGTAATGTCATCACGTTACGCAAACTTACAAACTTTTTTTTCCTGGCGGAAAAAAGTAATATTTAACATATAAAGGGTTTTCTTAGCCAATGAAATTGCCTGGATTCAAACAGTCTGAACTCACAGGGATCTTGTATTTCATGCTTAGACCCCTTCACACCTTGAAGCCTCAGTCAGTTGTAGCCCTGGGGTATAATGGCAATAGGGATCACTTAGCCCAATTCCACAGGCAGGCACGTATGTGCAAGAAAGGACTGCTGACACCTATTTGATCTCTTCATCGAAGCAGATGTGTTTTGGCTTCAGGATTTTCCTTGCTAGAGAAGATTACTTAATGCTTCACAGGAAGGTTTGTTATTTTGTTTTGTTTTGTTTTGTTTATGGGAGGGGTGGTGTTTAAACAAAATCATAGGCCCTGGCCTGGGTTGCTAAGTGGTTAGAGCCCTGGCCCACAAACCAAGGGTCTCGGGTTCCATTCCCCGTCGAGGGCACATAAAATCCCTGTCCTGGTAGGGCATGTGCAGGAGGCAACCAATCCGTGTTTCCCTCTCACATCTATGTTTCTCTCTCCTCCTCCTCCACTCTCCCCCCTCCCCGCCCTTCCACTCTCTTAAAAAAAATATCAATGGGAAAAATATCCTCGGGTGAGGATTAACAACAACAACAAAATATCATAGGAAGTTGGTCTCAACTTTACAAAAAAAGTGCCCCATAATTTTCTCTTTGTGCATTTGTTAGATAGGTGATGACTATAGCAAATGATCAGTAATTTAGGCTTAAAAAAGGAAAAACAAGTTCAGTGAAACACTATGCAAAATGAGTGTCCCAGCCCCTCTGGGAGCTAAGAGTGGTGGCCGGGACTGGTAAGATTATTGAGGGAATTCAGCCAAACGAGCCTGGTGACTAGTGTGAAAATGGGCTTTCTGGATTCGGGCCAGCGGAAAGCTCCATTGTCTCTGCCGTGCTCAGGTGGCAGCGTAGCTGGATACGGTTAGGGCCTGAAGGTGGGAACTGAAGGGAACATAAATATGCAGAGCAGGCAGCCACTACCCGACACTCAGAGCAGGCAGGTGTGTGGAGCTGAGCTGACAGCACAACGCTTGGGCCAGAGCAACCAATATTTGGAGAAATAGTGAGGGGTTTGTGTGCTTTGGGGGCACCTGGCCTGTCTATAATTTCATAAATGGACTATGATAATTTCATTAGTAGACTTTCAGGCATGTCTACAAACATACTGTGTATATATGTTTGGGTAATATGTGTAGAGTGAGGTGCTTGCATTTTGATAGTAAATATGCATAAGGCTACTAGTTTTTATTTAGTTGATACTCACATTTACACATCAATTTGCAAATTCCTCAGTCTATGCTTATTACCCATTCGACACATACACCCACATACACACATCACACACTTACATACATTTTCTAGTAACCAGACAAGCCTGCACATTAATACAAGTCTGCAGGAAGTCCCACTTGGGCACTTTGAAATCTCTTGCTTTAAAAATAGGGAGCATTGTCCTTTTGGGTGGAATACTTACTAAACATAGGGAATTTTGGCTGCACATGATATATCATGTAGAAATGAAATAATTCCCACCAATATTTTCATGCACCTCCATTTAAAAACTGTGAATGATATTTACATTGGAGAAATCCAAGATGCTTAAGCTAGGACCACCTGAAGGTTTGTTTTAATATGCAGTACTTTTAGATCCACTACAATATATATTGATAGATACACATAAAGTGTATATGTGCATGCAGCCATTCTCTGGGTGCGTGCACATGTACACAGACATGTGTATGCCTGATGTATATATACAGACAGTATGTTTAATAAAACCTTTTGCAATTTTACTTTAACAGGCACGCAGGTTAAGGATCCTTTAATCTAGAATGCTTGATCTTCCAATTAACCCATGTAGCCAGACTTTCATTTACCATTAATTAGCTGCAATTCCACTGTATGGAGATCAAGCCACTTTATTGAGCCATAACACTCTTTTCCTTTTTCTTTGCATAGCTAACTTAGTATCTAAATGGCAAAAAAAGGTACTAAAAGAGACTTGTCTAAGATGTTGTCTTTAAAGAAAAGATTGTGCAAAATCCTCTAGCACCTCCTCCCTCTCCCGACAGAGGTGAAGGAGAAATTTGAGCTTAGAAATTATTTTTTTTGGTCTTTTCTGCTGTCTTGAAATGTATCGCAATATTCCTCTCACCCAATCTTGTACTAGCTGGAGCACTGAAGGGGAACTAAAAATACAATATACTTAGTAAACATTTCATACAACAGAATTGAAGCTCATAACATAGAAAGAAATCGTCATGCAAAATGTTATGCAACAACAATGTTATTTTGTGCTGACATTGAGATTTGAAAATGTTGCATATGTCAGACATAGCTAGACAAAAAAAAAATGTGGACATTTGGAAATAAATGCTCTCTTTCCCAAAACCTGGTGTCGAACTTGAGAGCCCGAGCCTCAGCTTAGTATTCCAAACCAAAACAACATTTCAAGAAGGAAAATGAACGGAAAAGCAAACCAAACTAGGAAGCTGCCGAGTAAAGGAATGGGAGAAGTTTATGGTACTTGATTTTGGCCTAGTCCTGCCGTTGAGCCTCTGACATAAAATGCTGGTCTGCATTTGGGTGGGCGGAGGAGGCCCAGGAGTTGGCCGGGGAGCTGCTCAGGTGGGTGAAGACAGACGGTAAAAAAGTAAAGAGACAAAGTTGACTTTCACAAAGAGTGACCAGTAGGATGACGAACTCTGAAAAGAACTACCAAACAAGCAAGAATGATCAAACACAAATGGGGAGCCGCTGCTTTCTCGGCGTCACTGCCCCGTTACTGGACTGGACTCTGACCAGTGCCACCAGCACCACCCTACGGAGACGCTGATTGGCTGAATACTCAGACTGGACGTCTTTATCCAGAGGGATGCACGTGAAGGATGGTGGCAGCATCACTGACCGAAACAAGACACACTTTTGCACAGTCACGGACGCCTGGATGGTAAAGACTGCCTCCTCCTCCCAGTGAGCAGAAATACCTGGGAGACTGGCGTCTCCCCCTTCATATGCTGCTCCCCCTCCTACGGAGCCTTGCCCCTTCTACTTAAACCTCTCTGTGCTTCGGTTTCCTCATCTAGAATTTGGGAATTCGAATACCTTTTTGGTGTACCTTGCAGGGTCGCTGGTAAGAGCAAATAAAACAATGCATGGGCTAGATCTCTGCAAAGCCTAAGGTGCCTACCAATGTTCATTGTTCTCGCCAATATTGTGCCAAGGCAGGAATTAATTGCCTCGCAGGAGCAGATGAAGGGCCGCTATTAGTTCAAGTGCGCTAGGGAATATTCTTGCTCCCTTTGTGGAATTTCAACATGTCAAAATCTGTCATTTGGGGGGGAAAATGTGTGGTATCTGATTGTTTCCAGCTCATTTAATTATTTTCAATTTGGAATTTTCATGGCTTTTATATTGTGGGTTGAATCATATATAAAAGCTTGCCAGCTTATCAAATATGTTACTTGCTATTCCAAATGTTAGAATGCCGTAATCAGCACTTGACCCATCTGTCTGGTGGTTGACAGTATCAGCACAGCAAACATCCTGGGACAATGGCCGCTCCTTCCACAGGCCCAGGGCGCCCTCCGCTCCCCACGCCCTCCCTCTGACAAGCAACTCATTAACCTCGGACCTGCCCCTTCCCAATAGTTCCCGTTTATAGAGCAGCCTGCGCGGTGAGAGGGGACATACTCCATTGCCAAGTTTGCTTGAATTTTCTACTGGGAAAATGATTTTTACTGCGGGCTTATAGCAAAATGTAATTCTAGCGACATTAATGAAAATATCTGCAATACGAATAAATATAATATTCTGGCAAAACTATCGATTAAAAGCAAAAGTTGATGAAATTTTTTTCTTGCGGGGTCACCTCAAAGTTTTGAATGCATGGCTAAAAAAATTCTTTAGCAGTCTCCTCTTATTTAAATCTTTTGTTTGTGAAAGATTGTGTGTAAATGGAATTTAGAAAAATCAGTTTTAAATAACAGCTACTCAAAAGAGGACAACGACTGAGCCTTTCTTTATTAAAAAAAAAAAAGTACTCCTGTTTAATTTTTCTTAAAATCTGGTCTTCTACCTACAGCAGAGTTGAAAGTTAGGGACGTC